GTGTGTGTGTGTGTGTGTGTGGGTGTGTGTGTATGTGTGTGTGTGTGTATGTTCTGGTTTTCACAGCACATTTGTGTGCTTGTGTGTGGAGGCCAGAATACAGCCTCAGGCAGGGTTTCTCACTGATCTGGGTAATGAGGCTGTCTGGCCAGTGAGGCCTGAGGATCTACCTGTGTTGGCTTCCACAGCACAGATTACAAATGCATACTACCACACCTAGCTTCTTTGACCTAGGATCTGGATGGAACTTAGGTTATTTGCATTTTAGTGTACAGTACTTTTCACAGCAAACAATGCTCTTTAATAAAATTCAGTAGAGGTCTAAAATTTATATTCATGATTTCCCTTTTAAAAAATAGTTTTTGTGGGTCTTTGTTGTTGTTGTTTATTTTTTTCTAGACAAGGTTTCTCTGTGTAACCACCCTGGCTATCCTGGAACTCATTCTTTAGACCAGGCTGGCTTTGATCTCACAGAGATCTGCCTGTCTCTGCCTCCCAAGTGCTGGTATTAAAGGTGTGTACCACCATGAAGATGGAGGTTTCTCTCCCAGCTGGTCCCACAGCTGCTTTGCCCCAAATAAACACATAAAACATATTAATTTATAAACTGTTGGCCAATGGTTCACACTTCTGATTGGCTATCTGTGTCTTAATTATTAACCAATTTCTATTAATCCAAGTATTTCAATGTTGTATTATCTTATCAGAGAAAGGTCTAGATCTATTACTCCTTCTTGGCTACTTGGCATCTCTCCCTGTTGGCCTCTCTCTGCTTCCTCTCCCCAGAATTCTCCTCACCTCATGATCTCACCTATACTTCCTGTCTGGCTAGTGGCAATCAGTGTTTTATTCATCAACCAATAAGAGAAACATATATACAGAAGGACATCTTCCATCACCACCACCACCTGGAGGGCTTGCATTTTTATAGAATAAAACAAAAATATAACCCAAGCAAATACACTGTTGCAGAATATTTGTTTACACTGTAAAGATGTGCCTGCCTAAGATACCTTCTGATTGGTTTAATAAAGAGGTAAATGGCCAATATCTAAGCAGGTAAGGATAGATGGGTCTTCCAGGCAAAGAAAGAGAAACTGGAAGACAGAATCTAGGCATGTGATTTCACCAGCAGACTTAGAGCAAGTCTGATGTGTCCAACTAAGAAGAGGTAACCAAACCACATGGCAGAACATAAATTAAAAACATATGGGTTAATTAAGTTATAGGAGATACTTGGGTGTGGGGGACCGAATAATTCTGGGGCCCAGTCTCTAGCTCCAGTAAACATGGAGCACTGGAAAGCTCCAGCCTCACCATTGTATTGTTAATGCCAGTAAGGCTACTATTGTTTAACATGGCCTCAGGGTAACATGCCTCTTATTTGCATCTGTATGTGCCTAAGCATCTGAATAGGCCCTCACCTGGGTGGGGGAGGGAGAGGTATATGAGTAACTTGGGAGGACAGAAGGTTAGGAGCTAGAAGGGGCAAGTGCCTAGAGCAGAGAGGGAACAAAGAGGGAAATGGTTTTCCTGGTGGTATTGGCAGGATGGTTAAGAAACACCAGAAAAGATGGCTAATAAAGAAATGACTCTAGTTCTACAACATGGAACTGAGAGCTCTCTGAAGATGACAAGATGCCTGTGCTTGATCTTTATCGACATTGGGTTGCTGGGAGCTTCCAGGTCCACACCCCCCCACTCAGGCCAAACCTCATGGCTGTCGTGGGTTAAAGCTGAGACAAGCTGGGTCACGACACTTGGGGAAAAGCCTAAGGTAAGGCCAAGCTTTCATAATTAATAATAAGTCTCCAGGTCATTATTTGTAGGCTGGTACTCCAAGACAGTCTGACAAGAAATCTTACTACATTTAGCATCCAACATGGAAAAAAGGATATTTCCATTGCACTCTGACACTCTGGAGACTGCCAATAAAGTTTACTTTGAATCAGAGAGCAGAGCTAGCTACTAGCTGACCAAAATTAGTCATAGAGCTTTGGAGGGCCCAAGACATATAGAAAGACACAGGAAGTAATAGGAAGTGGCTTAGAAAGATCCTGGGCCCTTTTGGATCAAGGAAGGAAAGAGAAGGAGGTCACTGGTGGCTCCTCTGCTGCCTCTATGATCAATCATTTTTTTACCCTGATAGCAGACTTCTGAATTTTTATTAGTAAAAGAATATTTAGATAAACACTTCACCTGGTGTCCAATGTGGGACACCAGATCATGAGGCAGCTGCTCACCAACAGCTTTGTAGCCACCAGAGTTGCTGTGACATCTGGCTTTCCCTATCTACCCCCAGGACCTCTACATGAGTCTGGAGTTTTTCAGTTGCAGCCTTTCTATAACAGCCTCTGGCTGCCTCCTGTCCCTGGCTGCAGATGCCACAGGTAGCTTGGCCCCCCAAACATTGTTGGAGTTAGCCACCCACTGCCTGTCAGCTCTGTCATTCAGGCAGTCCCATGACCTTGCTTTGCACCACACAGGCCTCTTCATGTTCCCATGTCTGCTTTTCAAGTGGTTTGCTCCCTCTCCCCATGGGTTGTGGGCTTTCCCTGGAGCTCCTCCTCAGGCCACTGCCTTGCCAGGTCAGCCTCCTAGACACCCACTCAGATTTTTATTGGTGTGGCCATTGCCACACACTCTCAGCACCCAGCTACACAAGAACAGATACAGCTGACCTCAGCCAGGCCATGCACCACCCATATTCTCTGTCCAGCCATGCAGTACAGCAACAGCCAGCTTCACACTTCAATGTCATTCTCAGTCGGTGTGGTGAGAAACCTGGGGATACTTAAAGGGGAAATTAATTTTAAAAAAGTTTTCCCCACATTAAGAATGGGGAACAATATTACAATGCAGGGATTTAGGTCTCTGTATGGATCCACAATGGATGGTTTGGAAATGGAAAAGTTAATGAAGGGATAATCAACTTAGTTGGGATTGACATAATATCAATTATAATCAATATCAGTTTGGTAATTCACATTTTACTCTTTAAAAACTGGTTTAATACTAGTGCCAAATACGAAAAATTGACTGATATGATACAATCCTTAGAAAGATCTACTAATGAAACTAAGAAAATATTTGCACACAGAGGAGTTTAGAACAGAACCTACTGCATCAATGCTTTAAGAAACTGAAGAGAAGTGACCCAAAGTTATTAGAAAACCAACCTTAATTTATCCAGTTACCATTCAAGAATGACCAACAGATGATAGCCCCCCCCCCCCGCCAGGCTATACAGATGTTAACTGGGAGCCTGTAGGAAAATTGCACTCACTGTTTAAAAAAAAAGAGGACATCATGTTGGGAGAGGGTAGGTGAATCTGGGAGAACTTGAAGGACTGGGGGGTGGACATGATTAAAATATGTTGTATGAAATTCTTCAAGAATTAATTAAAATATGTTTGTAGTGTTAGTTTATATTTAATAAATGTTTGCAAAGGAAAAAATATTATATTTGAAGAGATTTAAGGAAGCAGTAGTTTCATATGGTATGCATTCACCTTTTGTGAAGTAGATGTTAAATTCATGGACAATTTGGAACAGAATTAGTCCACAAGACTGGAAAGATTTAGCTACAGCAATATTGGAAGCTGGTCCAAAGTTACAATGGAAAACATGATGGAAAGAGGAAGCTAGGGTTATAGAACAATGAGTTAGGGCTAGAGGCATGGAAATTTCCCAAGATCAGCTCTTTGGTAAAGGCCAGTATGGTGATTTGCAAAGACAGTTTATATTTGATGATCACACCTTGGCCTTATGCCATATAACAGTTTTGAATGCTTGGAACAAGGTTGAAGAATTAGGAAAGAGGACTGGATCACATACTAAAATTATACAAATCCCAAAGGAAGCCTCCACTGATTCTTTACAAAGATTAACTTCAGCTGTAAATTTAATGATATCAGATCCAAAAGTTTGACAAAATTAGTTGAATCTTTGGCTTTGGAAAAGCCTAATTCAGAATACAAAATGTGATTAGGATTTAAAAGCAAGATCAGCACTAATAAATGAATGGATTAGAAATACAGCTGATATTGGATCTCATACCTATGATGATAGTTGGATAGGAGAAATGATTTCTAAAAATTTTGAGAAAAACCAAAAGGTTAAATGTTTTAATTGTGATAAACCAGGTCTTCTGAAAAGGGTTTGTAAGCAAGGCATTTCTAGAAACACAGTTTTTGAGGCGGGCAGTGGTGGCACACGCTTTTAATCCCAGCACTTGGGAGGTAGAGGCAGGTGGGTCTCTGTGTGTTCAAGAGCAGTCTGGTCTACAAGAGCTAGTTCCAGGTCAGCCGCCAAAGCCACAGGGAAACCCTGTCTCAAAAACCAAAAAAAAAAAAAAAAAAAAAAAAAAAAAGAAAGAAAGAAAAAAAAAGAAACACAGTTTTTGTTGTTGTTTTTTCTTTTTTCTGGAGATAATCCAAACAGAAGGCCAGAAGGTGTAGCAAAGGCTAGCTTTGGACTAATGAATACAGATCAACAAGGGACAGGCAAAGTATCCTTGCCACCAGGAAACACTTTAGGGAGTCTCCCACAGGCTCCAAT